CACTAACATTTAGGTTGAACTGCATCTGATGAAATACGAGTATGGATAGTCGATGTTTATGAATAATTGATGTATATGGATGTAACAATGATATGAACCGATGTGTGGTAAATGGTATGGATGTTGGATAAAAGAAAAATTTCTACGGACAATGAACATGTATGAATGAATGGAAAGACACAGGTATGGAATATGACATGATGTACAGTTTATGAAGCTAATCTCATCCGATTCTACAATCCAATACCTCATTCAAATCTTGGACAATAAAAGTAATCGTAAGTCATCCTGTTCAAGCATTAAAGCACATACCAAAACCTTCCTGCTTCTATTTTTCCATTTAATAGACCTTTGAGGTTGAAGAACCCTTTCAAAGGTACTTTTATACTGAAGATGGGTTTCTTTTCTAACCCATTAAAGACATTTTCAGTTTTATAGAAAATGTACATATATCAGCTATGAGATTGAATGAAACAGTGTAAATTAACAAAATGAATGAAAGGTTCCTTTCATGACTTATATATATTCCAAAGACTTTATCAGTCCAAGCAGTAAACATATACATGTAGACACAAAGGTATTGGATTGTATCTTCAATATTTACCAAACTACGCTTTACAACTGCAATAAAATCCTGAAAATCACTGGGGTTTTTTTCCCCTCAACTTCAAACTATATGGTCTAGAAAATCTACAATGTCTGCGAAAGCTGCACTTTTAATGGAACATCAGCGTCACTATACCCTGAACCCTTGACACAACAGGCACATTACTCACCAAGTTTGTTTTTCATTGCGTCATATTCTGTCATTCTTTTGTTTTGATACTTTGGGGACAATTATCTGATTTCACATTTCTTCCGAGGTAAAAACCATTAGACGACCATAATTTGTATGGTCTTCTGGAATGACTTTAATAGTATAATTACTTTAAACATGGTGGTGGAGAATAGTTGCTTTTCACCTACCTGTATTAAAAGCTCATCATATGCATTATTTCCGCTACTGGAGTTTTGATCAAAGTGTGACTTCATTTCAAGTATAAATATTGAGATTCTTCAACATTTTGCATTTATGACCCATACTAAGAAACATGTATTTCAAAAATGGTCACAGAGCTTCTGTGACTCATGACCTTTTATCTGCATTAACTAGTTACCCGAAAAGGTGATACACATTCACTTTACTTGCCATATAGAAGTATTTATGAGTCTCTCAAAACTAATAACTAATATTTTTGTGAGCAGTAAACTTCTAATACTATTAAACCACCCCGAAAGTCAGTTATATAACTAGCATTTGAATCCATATAGGCTGCAAATTGTTTTCACACAAATTCCTTGTTCATACCAAAAAACAAGACTTTGAAACTGTTTTTAGCCAGCACAATTAATGCAAAAGATGTCATTCTACAGGAATGTGAAACTAAATATGGACCTTATGATAACTTGTATATCAGTCTGTAAGGCATTTGTCTGACTATTTCTCCACCATCACATTAAGAAATCACTTTGAAAGCATTGTACCTTCTCCTTCTTCAAGCACTTCATCCTCTTCGACTGAGAGATGGAAAATCGGTGGTCAATCGTCGGAATGCAAATGATAAAAAGATGACGTCAGGGCCGCCTTGCAATAATTAAAACTTGGGATTGATGAGACAAAACTTGGGGAGGAGAAAGAATTAAAGGGGAGTGGAAACTCGTTCCTTTGCATTTCCGTTTTGCTAGTTTTTGGTGCCACATTGTGCTGGTAATAAGGTGCCTTAGTTGCCGAAGCCGGGCCGCATAAGCATGTGCTAGTGAAAGTGATCAAAAGGGGATTCGACAGGGGGTCGGAGGACAGATGGAAGGCATGAAGGGTAGGAATAAAATCATAATAATGAGTATGGGAAATGAGGAGGGGGCAGGGAAGGGGAGGGAGGTAACTGTTAGGGGCAAGGCCGGAAAATGATGCCACATTTGCCTCGTTCAAAAAAGATAAAAAATAAAACGTTGCCATTCTCTAAAAAGCCCTTAGGATGAGTTCAGCACGGTGGATCATACTTCAACCGGCTGTTTAACAAGATTGCAGGATGCACATAACCTAAGCGTCGGAGTGCAGAAATTGCTCTTGCTAGTTAATCTGCACAATGGAAGGGGTGAAGCTAATGTTTGTGAAGTATACAAGTGGATGTATGAGTGATGTTACAGTGGTGTTTTGGGTACAAACATACAATCTGACATGTTTTTAGAATGTGTTTAATTCACAAATAGAGTATCAAAATATACTTTAAGGTAGATGAACAGACAAGGAGATAATAATCTTACAAACATCTCATGACGAGTTTTAGGTTTATTTCTAAAAGAAGTACGATCTTCACTTTAGTAAATCAATTTTTCCTCTTGCAAAATATACTAGAGACAGCTGCTACTTCATAGAAAAGTTCACTCTCATCAAAAATTCTGTATTGCAGTTAAATACCCTGAATTTTCTCGGAAGTTAGAGGAAATTGTTTCTTCTCCTTTTCATACACAGAGAAACATCTTCCTTCTCTACTTATCACTGAAATATTGTGATGATATATATATATATATATATATATATATATAATTGCCCATGGAGAAACATTTTACCTTCTAAAGCCCCCCCCCCCCCCTGAAAATTTGATAGAGTGAAAGGTGAACACTATCTTATTTCGTTTATTGATACTGTACGAGTAGAGTTTAGATTTTTTTTAAGGGGATGATTTTGCTCTGCATTGCTTGACACACATTGGTTTAAAAAGAACAATGCCTTCCATCACAGCAATTTCACATAGCCGGGCTGACAAAAAGCTGAAAAGGAAAGATCTCTTTTAGAAAAAGAAAAGAAATTCACCATCAAATTAGAAGAAAAAAGCACTGAAAGAGGAGCAACAACAACAATTCTTTTTTGAACAGATTAACTCCATCAACTCCCAAAACTACCAGTTATTATCTAAGGTGAATAGGACAAACTCTCACAACAACAAAAAAGCTGAATGTTATTCAAAAACAGACTTCAATCAATTAGCTCCCTCCTTGATGAACTCCACTTCTGTCCTGACCGAACATGTACACATTGGATGTTTAGAAATTAGGATGATGGTTTTGTTATTTTACAGGGGATATTACTTTTGTGACGATAAATATATATTGTTTCCAGGCAGTAGTGTACGGGAGACGGATAATTGCGTGTAACTGGTATTGGGATAATCGTTGTTAGGCTTTGAAATTATTAAAAAGCACAAAAATATTGACAAGGAAAAAAATGAGTTGAGAATTGTGTTGTAAGGATATAAATATATATATGAATGATACAAGTGTATAGCTGTGCAAAATGGTGTATTTGAAGAAGTGTATGTATATACTGAAGAAAGAGAAACAAGGAATGTATCTAAATAATTGATGACTTCTACTCGGCGAGGGTGCATTAATTAATTCACACTCAAGGCACACAATCAGATTTATATAAACAAAGAACATCAAAACATCAAAACATGTATTACATATTATCAAGGTTTGTACATTGGAATAATTAACATCTTTCATATTTCCTTTTAGATTGATTATCAATACAGACATTAATATAAATAAATTGTTTAAAAACTTTGAGTGAAAGACAATTTATATAATTTGATATCAATACAACAATAGATTTGAAATCGTATTCATTCAGACTTTCTTGGTGTTATTTTTTGACAAAAATTAGTATTGAATGTTCCAAGTTTTGAACTAGAAGCGTGAATAGACATATAGCCTGAATTAATTTTTAAAAATAATTATATGGAATCTCGTAAGTTTATCCATTAGCAGCAAATTGTCTTCCAATAAATGTTGTGTTAATCAAAATCAAAGTCAACTACTCATACAAGTATAAGAAATCTTAATCCAAATATATATAATGTATTAGGATTACAACATAATTTAATTCATTCTAATAGTCTTCTTTAGAACTCACACATTATTCCTCTAAATGCGATATATGGGATAAGTTATAAAGACAATACAAATATATATATATATTCTATATTGTTGTATATAACCCTAGACCCAAAAAGATCAGATTATTGGAATATTTTGAAATAATGACTTTGCAGTTGTTGGTTTAAGTAACAAAATACAGATTCAGTCATTCAAGTATTTCTGTCAGATATTGGATAGTTTAGGGAAAATATTCTCCAATCACGTACACTGCTAAAATCAAACTGTGTATACAATTTTGGAAAGCACTTTTTATATACTTTTGTGGAATATGTTTCCATTTTAAATTGATCACATACAATGCTTGGATAAAACTGCACTTACTTGCTAATATATTCATGAATTGAAACAAAATCATAACCCGGGTGGTATTCTGAAAACGATGTTATCTTCTATATTAGTAAAACAATGTTATTTGTCATAACAAATAAAAATTAGAAAAGGCCATTGGTTAATATCTCTCACAGCCGGCTTCGTTTACGTTTAGTCTAAAAAAACGATATCCGCGCACGCACTAATGGTAAATGTTAATTCCGCAAAGAATTTCAGTTTGTTATGACAATAAAACATCGTTTTCCTTAACATAATAGATTTTTTTGCACGTGTGTACATAGCTTTCGATCTTGGAGCATCAGTAGTTTAGCTTTACTCACCAGTACTCGAAAGATCCATTTAGCTATTGCCTTGTCCCGATCATTCAGATAAATCTGAACTTTAAACAAATAAAACCATATCACCGCAACACCTATGTGGGCTACTCCATGTGTGTGTGTGGGTGCGTAATCGTGTGACTTCTTTGTGTGTATTCCTCAAGTGGACACCAACACCGCAAACCTCACTATTTCAAAGAAATTCAATAATCTGATTCCGATCTCAGCAAATTCAAACTAATCCAAAACACTCTTCAGGAATTATGATCTTCCTTCACTACGTTCAGGAGTCAGGTAAGAGGTAACTTTTTGGGGTGAGTGGAGGAGGAGGAGGGGGGTAGATCGAGGGTGGGGCTGGTGTACGGTACTTACGTGTCACCATGAGGGAGAAAGCGCGCTCGTCCTTGCCGTGCTGGTTCTCAAGCTTGCAAGAGAACTTGCCGGTGTCCATGGAGTCGGACTTCTTGATCTCCAGCGAGTGGACTCCTGTCTTCTCATTGTATTTCACCTGCAACAGGGAAGGGCGGGGTAGGCAATATAATCAACATATTGGCAACAATCTTCCAGAATCTTTCAGGTGAGAAATCCCACCCAATTGATTTGATATGATTTATTTATTTTCTGTTTGATTTTCTTTTTCTTTTGCAGTTTTACAAATATATAACAAACAAAACATTGCAAATTGTACACATGGCAATTATGTAGAATAAAGTAAGGCTGGCTGTAACTAATCAAAAACATCAAGCAGGAGGGTTGACAAAGTAAGCAAAGCTTGATAGCATCACTACCCTCAATTGTAATGTTGTATATGATATTTATTTACTAAGAGCTTGTCTTCATTCTCTAGTCCAAAATGAGTTCAAGTGATGTGATGATCCTAATAGGTGTTATCTTGTATCGAGATGACTCATGAAATCATCATCACAAATCTGTCTCATTAATTTTCTATTACGCTGAATAATGTAAGTTTGGCGATGTCCATTACAAAGCAAAGTAACTTTGATCCAGGTTTAATTCTTGACTAAGTGATTTAAGGAAGTCTATGGATGTATTGAGTGCCTTGACATCATACATAGAGTTCTTACGACTTCGAGTGCAAAATAAGGAATCATTCCTCCTAAGGAATTATTTCCTCCAAACTAAGGATCGTTCCTCAAAACTAGGGATCGTTCCTCAAAAAAAAGGAAAGGTTACTCCAAAATAGGAATCATTTCCCCCAAAATGGGAACCCTTCCTCCAAAATAAGGTCATTCCTCTAAAATGGGAGTCAGAAGAAAAATGGGAATCATTCCTTCAAAATGGAAATCATCCCTCCAATATGGGAATGGTTGGAAGCTCTGTTGAAAGGACCCAGCAGCCTACTTACAGCATATCTTCCTTTGAATCCATCTTTGATCTCATTCTTGCCTTTGAACCATTTGACAGTTGGGGTAGGCTCACCAGCAACCAAGGCTTCAAATTTGACAGTCTGACCTGTAAGGTGAAAGTACAGATGGAATAAGAAAAGAAAAAATAATAATCTTCATTTTTATGATAGACAGCATAGCCCTTTGAAGATTACAAGAAGAAGAATAAAATTGATTGATATTTGATATAACATAGCTACAATGTATACTGAATATACATTGCCTGTACTACACTTCAGTGAAAAACCCCTCAATAGGTACAGGTAAAATGGTTGCTGTGAATGAATTGCCTATATATTGCAGAAAACGATATTTACAAGTAAGTCAACTAACACTCTAATGTTATGTCATAAAGAGGAACGTTATAATAATTTTGCAGTTCAATATGTGAAGACAAATTAAGATGTTAACTCTTTATTTTATTTCATAATGAAAGAATAATAGCATAAAAGGGGACAACATATGCTGAAAAGGCTATGAAACAATAAACTATTATTACCATTCCTTCTTTGTATTGAAAATATCTACCGGTATTGAATAATAATAATAATGATATTCCGCTTTTATATAGCGCTTAATACATCTATGATGTCTCTAAGCACTTTACAGATATACTATTACCCCGGTCATTGGATTCAATACTTCCCCCACACAATCTCCACTCCCTGGGGAGCATTCCAGCCAGGTTTTACTTGATGCTCAATAACTTTTTGACCAACAATGACGGTCCGGGTCGTATCCTACCGGGTACCCATTTAACAACTGATATCTGATAAGGGTTGTGTTTCAATTACTCGATGGTAAACTATAACTGCACTACCACTGTAAATTACATCATGTATTTTAGAGTATATTTCTGTTTGCAAGGAGCGCTTTAAATGACTTTAAAATAAAGATCTATATATACAGCATATATATGGTTTTAAATGAATGTTAAAAGTATTATTAAAATATGTAATTAAATTAACCCCTTGACTACTGAATTCTTCCATTTTCATAGGTTTTAGACAGAACCCACCGAGTACTCTAAGGAAGTGGGTTAAAGCCCCACTGCACTACTAAGAGCTACTTGCGTCCTCTATATAGCAAACAATGCTTAATCGGTGCCTGTTGGTCCCCCATGATCCCTTTTTTCTTATGTTGATTGAGAGCTGATTTGATGAGATAACCACCTGTCAGTGACCTTACAGGGAGGTCTAATCCCCCTGGCCAAACTAGTACAGACGGACTTTAAGATACACTTACCCTCAGGACTTGAACATTTGCTGGGTGTCTCAACGAAGTAGGGCGAGATGTCAACTGGTCCCTTCTTCTCCTTCTTCCTCTTTCCTGCAAGGCAGAGTCAGTGGTAATAGTGTTAATGCGGTATTCAACCTGAAGACCAACTGCATTTTATTGTTTCCATAGGCTTAATACGGCATCTGGTTCTTGTAAGCAATGGGTTAGGTGGAGAAAATGCAGCACTATATTCAGACGTAGCTATGTATTGCTAGTTACTGAGGGGTGGGGGTCTTATCAAAAGACGCAAAATCCATTTTTTTTTTATGTACCAGACAATCAAATCAACTTAAAATTTGGTATTGATTCATCAATGTGCATTTCTTTGGGAATCGACTGTCTCTGAAATTTCTGGAAAGAAAAGGTATAACTTTATTAAACTTAACAAAAGTCTATGAAACCTACATATGTTTCAAGAAATATCATATCCTTCTGATATGAAGTCATCCTACAAAATGTTCACATAAAAAATAGCTTCATAACTATACTATCAACTACTACACAAAAGCAGTATCCATTCTTACAGAAAAATACTGTAAATAAATAAACAAAAATATCAACACAGCAATGAAACATGCAAAGCAAACTGATAAGTACATTACACAAAGTCATGATAAAATCTATGTGCATGAATAGATTACATAAAACAGGCATTTCAATGTTTTTCTGTGTGGAAAATATTTTTTTTACATGGTCTTTCAAAATTAAAGGTAAGTACAATTTAATACAGAAAGTCTTGAAATATGAATTAATGAGTGTGGTGATCTTTAGCATTTTATCTTTTGCTTGAATTTAGGATTTATATATATATATATATATATATATATGACAAGATGGAAAAAAAGAAAAAAAAGTGGAATAAAGAGAAATGAAAAGCTACAGCTTGAAATACTGTGAAATTAACAAATATTTATAAAAAAGTATAGAATACTGATATTTTCAAAACGTTAATAATAATAAAAACAAATCAATACTATATATGTAATAATTATTACAATTATTATTATCATCATCAAAACTATCATCATGATTATTATTATCATCATAGTTATTGTCATAATTATCATTATCATTATTTTTCTCATTATTATTATCAATGAAATGATGTATGCCGAAAACTGTGAGGTGCATTGAACAACATTGAATAGGGGAGAACAAATTCTCTCTTTTTTTGTCTTTCAACTAGCAAAACTGACAGCAAAATCTCTTGTTGGGGATGGCAATTCAGTGATGGCTTGTACAAACTTGTGCTGGGAGAAAAATAATACCTTGTAGTTATCTATAAGGACTCAGATTAATCATACAGTCAAACAGGTCTACTGCAAATCTTTCCACTCTTTATTAAATGGAACCTCTCTCAAGACTTCAGTAGACTTTTATGACTTGCGATTAATCTATGTCTTTATGATATCTAAAGCAAAGGTGTAAAAAAAAAAAGCACTGTGCTAACAACCAAAGGGTTCTATCTACATCCTACCCCAAATGGTGCCTTATCTAAGGTTTTCTACATAAACAGGCGAGGCAAAGGTGGAGGAAATACACGGTGCAATAATGCTAAGTGCCCTAGCTATCTACAAATAAACCAAACTAGAACAATATGTGTGGTCTTCTAAAGATGAGGGTGCTAAATCACTCAGTGCTACCTTGTCACTGACATGCTGGCAGTGTGCTACAGCTGGATACATAATGCGCATGTACTTAATTAAATAAGACTAAAGGACAAGTCCAAGGCACTTTGTTGTTTGGTGCTCCATGTGTTTAAAGTATCATGGTGCTATGAATATAACTGACACCAACAATAGTACTCTCACTCTCGTTGACATTTGGACAGATTCAATCCCGATTTGGGCTTGCAAATTACGACAGTAATCAGATATAGTAAAATCATAGCAGTGCTCTGTAATATTTGGGACAAAATAGCTTGGACCTGTCCTAATTTAAATACCAAATTTGTATCATTCTACTACTACAATATTTCCTCTCATGCAGCTTCGAGGCAAAATCTATAGCAAAATCTAAAGGAAAATTCTTCAGCTAGCAGGGAAGCGTGAAATCAGAGAAAGGTTGCTTGGTGCAGAAAAATAATGAAATAGGCATGGGAGTGCATCGTCATGGAAACAAGCAGCAAGGTAAAGAATAAAATGGATTTTTTAAGGGTCACCTTCCATTCCTTCCAACTGTTCTCCTTGTCTCTCTTGTAGAGGGGAAACATCTGACCCCTCTGTGGTTGAAGGGTGTGTGTTAGAAACATTTCATTGATCAGAATACATATAAAGAATGGAAATAACAATTTCAGAAGGTATCAATCAACTTGAAGTTAGAGGCAAAGGGTAACAGTGAGAAATACTAGATACCGGTAGTTAAAACTTGGTTCAGGTATACTGCTGAATGTTTAGAAAAGCTGCGAGTTTCAATACAAATGAATAATATACAGTTTATGAAAATTATAAATACAGTGTTTATGTTTTTTATAAATTCAGCAGAAATGTTTATCTTTAGATATTTTGATAACCAGAGATTTACAAACTGAAAGATCAGTTATTTTTGGTGGCCCAAATTTTCATCCCTATTGAAATAAACTTATAATTTTTAATAACTTCTGAGCTTCACAAAATGACCATGTGCCTCTAAAATAAACATAATACTACAACATAAAGTTTTTTTGTTTAAACAGAAAGTGTATAGTGAGTTAGGTTTGTATAACAGCAAAATTACAACTACCACAATAAAAATAAAGGTTATCTTTCAACCTCAAGTTTTTCTGCAAATAAAAGAATGATCATGCATTAATACTGATGAATAGGCGGATTATATCATTTTATAAATGAAAATACACATGTTGAGTACAAACTGTAATGGAAGTGTAAACTTATCTGTTAATGAAAGACACTCTACAGTTCAAAGTGAAAGTTTCCATCTGTGGAATACTAGATTTCTACACTAATTCTGCAAAAGATGATTATGTAGGATGTAGTGTAGATAATTGCTCTCTGATAGACTACATATATTTTTCTTATATCACGTTTCTATGCCAACTTGTTTTTAAACTTTGTAAACATTCTTTCATATCTCTATGAAGGAATGATATACTTTTCAAAATAAAATTCCTTCCCAATTTCAAATATTTATCTTATTTTTTTATGACATGATAATTTGTAAATCCATCATGAACACAACTTAAATCAAAGTAAAATTTCAAAATGCATTGTGATTTTATCACAGATACAATGTGTTTGCTTTTGAAAGGAAAAACAGAAAGTATTGCACTTTTCCTAAATTAGAATATTGTCAAATAACAACATTTCAAGAACACCTATGCATGTTATCTACCATTTGACTGCATTTTCTAAATATTCTTTAGGTCTTTAGAAAATGGGTCATCTATACAAAAACTACATGAAAACACACCCAATTTTGATAGAGTATAATAATTTCACAAAACTGCATTAGTAGTGATATGCTTCTTGTCAAAAGGACCTAAATAAGCATGGAATTAAATTGAAGTTAGCTGCTGATCAAATTGATTTGATCAAAATTGTTAGTTGTAACTCAGTAAGAATAAGATAAACCTGACAAACAATGTTTATGGATGGTGTTCAATTGAAACTTACTATATTCATCCCTAGTCATGCCTGTATTGCCTTTTATATTGTATGGACAAAAAGATATTTGTAAGCTGACATATTATACAAAATTTGCTGTACCGTAAATCGTTACTCAAACTGTTTACCGTTTTGCCAAATACACATCATTTATAAAGCATTTAAATTTTTACTTTGTTACATGCATAATAATAGCAAAAAATAAATTATTGTCTTATATATTAAGCTCAATGGTATCATTATTACCCAATACTAAAATGGTAATTAAAAATGCAAATATGAAGCCTTTGCATGTCTGGGTGTGCAAAAAAAGACATTTCAGCAACAGCTATTATTGTAGCCTTTAAGAACTAAACAGTCATTTGCCATTCAGGTTAGGAAAAAATTTGAATACGGTAAGCTGATAATTGACCTTTTCACAGCCATTTCAATGGTGTGGTAATTAAAGCAGTAGTTGTAAAGGGTAAAGTAGGCAATACAAGATATCTTAATGCTACCTAAAGCTTAATAATATATTACAATAAGCATTATAATTACACTGTTATATGTTTTTACTTCAAGGCAGTAAAGAGTAAATTCAGCACAAAAAAGCAGTATCTGAATAACAATATCAAAATGCTCATTCATATTACCATAGGCATTGTTATTTCCTCAATAGATCTATTTTAAATGAAGATTACATCTAAACACCCTGTTTTGTTAAAAGTATTGAGCTGCAATTCATCTAAATCAAACAATTTATTACTTTTTAATATAATAGCAAATCTTATGGAATTTCAAATTGGTATTCAAATAGATGTCCATTAATAAGCGAAGTAAATGATTTTTTGTTTTTTAACAGGAATGCCCATATTGTATGTTGTTTTACATTTCATTTCTTTGAAACAATTTATTTCTTATAAACAAATATATTTCAAATGTATACTCGGAGGAAAATACTGCTTTTATAAGAAGATACAAATGGAAATCATAGAGAGGGATAAAGAAAGCATAACAAGAGGTTTTCGTCACAATATAGAGAGAGAGAGATAATGATAGTTATAGAACAGGGGTGATAGTGAGCACTAAAAAAAAAATAGGTTTTTTGTTTTCCCCTCCACCACGCCTCCCTTGAGTAAAATAAAAAGAAGAGGTTTCGCGGGGAAAAAATGGCATATAACAACCTTCCCCCCTTTTGAGTAAGAAAATTTGGAAAATTTGGGAAAAAATAGGGCAAAATAGGGAAGAATAGAGAAAATAAAGGGGAAATCAGGATAAAATAGGGAAGAAAAAAAAAATCTGGTAAAAAAAAAAAAAAAAAAAAAAAAAAAAAATCTTGATTTTTTTTTTTTTTTTTTTTTTTTTTTTAAATCGGGAAGAAAAAAAAAATCGGGAAAAAATCGGGGAAAATAAAAAAAATCGGGAAACCGATTTAAATCGGGTTTTTATCAGGCCTGATAGAAAGAGGTAACGAGGAGAAACAGGGCCTAAAGAGGGAGAAAAAGAAGGAGAGAGAGAGGTAGAGAAATAGTTGTTTTGTGAGCATAATATAGAGAGAGATGATGATATTTATAGGGAGAGGTGGTGAGGAGAAACAGAGCCTAAAAAGGGAGAAAGAGGGAAAGCGAGAGAGGTAGAGAAATAGTTGTCTTGTGAGCATACCTGCAAACTCCCAGTCTGCACTGTCCTCCACACCTTCCGTTGCTCTGGAGCCGATCTCCCCTTCGACCCCTCCGACCCCTCCTGGTGCGGCTGACTCTACCTCTTGCTGACCGGTCGAGGTGATGGCCTCCTCCACTGGCTGCTTCTTACTGCACAGATGTGAAAAAACACAACGATCCATCTGATAATAGACTGCTTTTGCTATCGACAGTACTTTGAGGCCTTACTCTCTTCAGGTTGCACCCATCATTTGAATGGTTCTTTTAATATTTTTTTTTTTAGCTTACTGTATTATTGTATTGTCTGGTTTTTAAATCAATTTTATTATTAATGAGGTTTTTTTTCGTCTTCCATATTCTCCATTTCTTTAAAAGTAAATTGGTCTTAAGCATATTTATGAGCTTATGAATATGAATTTATATTATAAATCTGGTTTTGTATATATTCAATATATAAGCATATAATTTATATAATGTGTATTATTATATTTCAATAAATATTTTGAAGATTTCCTACAAGAAGATCAAACTTTTGGCATACAAAACTAGATGGAATTTTGACTGCGCGCAGTCGAAAATGATGCCTCCGCCATAGAGCAATTTAAACAAGTTTGGAGTTTAAATCTCCAGTGGTTCTTGAGATATCATGATAACAATCTCAATGTATGGAATTTCATAAGTTGACCTCTGTGACCCTTGACCTTTGACCTACGTGCTCCAAAATCTGATCAGATTGTCTTCCTATGGTGATACACACTATCATTAAGTTTGAAGTTTAAATCTCCAGTGGTTCTTGAGATATTATGATAACAATCTCAATGTATGGAATTTCATAAGTTGACCTCTGTGACCCTTGACCTTTGACCTACGTGCTCCAAAATCTAATCAGATCGTCTTCCTATGGTGATACATACTATCCTTAAGTTTGAAGTTTTTACATCTCCAGTGGTTCTTGAGATATCATGATAACAATCTCAATGTATGGAATTTCATAAGTTGACCTCTATGACCCTTGACCTTTGACCTACGTGCTCCAAAATGTAATCAGATTGTTTTCCTATAGTGATACACACTATCACTAAGTTTGAAGTTTAAATCTCCAGTGGTTCTTGAGATATCATGATAACAATCTCAATGTATGGAATTTCATAAGTTGACCTCTGTGACCCTTGACCTTTGACATACGTGCTCCAAAATCTAATCAGATCGTCTTCCTATGGTGATACATACTATCCTTAAGTTTGAAGTTTAAATCTCAAATGGTTCTTGAGATATCGCGCTAACAAACTCAATACAAGGAATTTCATAAGTTGACCTCTGTGACCTGTGACCTTTGACCTACGTACTCCAAAATCTAATCAGATCGTCTTCCTATGGTGATAAATACTATTCCCGAGTCTTAAGTTTAAATCTTAAATGGTTCTTGAGATATTGTGATAACGGTCAAACGGGACGGACGTACGGACGTACGGACGGACGTACGGACGGACGTACAGACGTACGGACGTACGGACGTACGGACGGACAACCCGAAAACATGATGCCTCCGGCACCACCTTCGGTGGCGGAGGCATAACAAAGAATCAAGGGTCTAGACCTGATAAGAACTTCTTTAAATATAAACACTTTCAAAAGATAAACAAAGTTTTCATAGATTTCAAACATACCCTGGCTTGCTCTTGCCTGGTTCCAGTGAGTCTGTAAACAAATAAACAATTAGGAAATGTATATGAGAAAAATTCATAACATAATTCTGTAAATAAAAGTGTTCCGTAAATCTGCTATTGACTATAACTATCAAACTGTATCACTTGGACTGTGATACATATTCACTATTCTCCTACAATGTTGACTAAACTCATGACATTCCCTGTTTTTCCCCTACTGCTTCCACATCTCATCTTCAACAAACACTGTGGAGACAGACTAAGCCTCTCCTGCAGCATTAGAAGCCACAACCCTGAAGTCTTGTGTATCTTCTGGGAGCACATCCATGAGTTCCCCCCAATATACTGCCACTATTATCTCTACTACTACTACCACTGCAACATCTACAATATTTACCACCTCCACTACCACTTTACCCTTAAAGCTGCCATGATCACTACCATCACCACTACTACCACTCTTCCGACTACCACCACCACCACCACCACAACCTCTACCACTCAACTTCAACCATTACATGTACTTCTACTACTTACACTTTGACTCACACTATCAACATTGTCCTCTTCAACTTCTATTTTCATCCCCTTTAGTACTACAACTTCCAATTTTTCCCTACTTCTACCACATCTCACCTTCAACAAACACTGCGGACATAGACTTGGCCTCTCCTGCAAGATTAGTAGTCTCCTAATAAGTAGTCTCCTGTTTCTTCCACATAGTGTACTACCTCTACAGCTACCAATACAACTTCTACAACCTCTACTCCAGCTACTATCACTTCCACTGCCACTTCTACCCCTACCCTATTACCCTTACAGCTGCCACCGCCACTAAAACCACTCTTCCGACTAGCACTCACATGCAGCCATTTTCTATACTATTTACACTACGACTCACGCTATCACCATTGTCCTCTTTAACTTCTAGGCCCTGTTACATAAAACTTACCATTGATGGTAACTTTGCCATCAATGGCAACTACCATGGTAACAGGGCTCAACAGCCAATCAAAATCAAGGTTTCCATGGTAGTTACCATTGATGGCAAAGTTACCATCAATGGTAAGTTTTGTGTAACGGGTCCCTACTTTTACCACATCTCACCTTCAACAAAGACTGCGGCGATGGACTTGGTCTCTCCTGCGGGATTAGAAGCCACGATGCTGTAGTCTCCTGTATCTTCTGGGAGCACATCCAGGATATCCAGGAGGTAGAGATCACCGGCCTGGCTCATCCTAATCTCCTTTGATTCCTTGACTTCTTTGCCATCTCTGTGAAAAAACGAGCATATTCAAAAATTAAAAATTTTGTCTTTGATTTAATGAAAACTATAACTAAAATGGTTCCTGTTCAGCTTTAAATGGTAAAACAAAATATGTATCAGTCCAAAGATGTTGATTTGTGAAAATGTTCATTTTTTAAACAAAGGAATACAAAAGATTCTTGAACAACTATACATCGAATTGGACAAGTTCTTTAACAACTACCCACCAATCCCCTTCCAAAAAATGGAGAACTTCTTATATCTCTAGTCCAATTTCCTCCATCTCTTACCCATTTTTCTCTTCTACACATGAAAGCTGTATTTTGCTGGGTTTCTCGATTGGCTTTTTGATTTAAATCATCACTAAGTTTGGAAAGAACGAGACATTGACTCACTTGTACCATGTCACCTTGGTCGGGCTGCCGGTGATCTTGACCCGAAGGCTGACACGGCTGCCGTCTTTCACATCCTGTGGGGTCAACATACACACTCAGGGGTCACGCCAAAGGAAGGGTGTCGGGTAGGGGCACATCAAAAACAATCTCATGACACCAGTAGGTCTAATTTGCAAAAATGCTCGGTATTGTCTTATGAAGTATCAGCTGACATGTTAATTCAAAGGTATAAGATCTTTGTTTCAAGCCAAAATTTTCTAATGAAGTAAAGGCCAAAAGTTTAATATAAAGGTATTAGATTTTGTTTCAAGTTTTGTTATTTATAGACAATCATGTTCAATTGATGCAATCAGAGGGAAAGTAAATTTGATATTCACTTACTTTCTTAAGAATATTTTTTTATGAAAGTTTTGTTTTAATCTTTTTTTTTTCTTTTCTTTTTTTAATTGAAAATAAATGTTGGCATGAAAAGTTGGTAAGATATCATATGCCAAAATTATCTAAGATGTTTATTATTCAGCTATACTAGTTTAAACACACAATGTTGAGCATAATGCAAATCACCTCTACTAGATCATGCCTTGCATTGTTGAATATCAAAGGGATTTCAACTTGATGGAATGTGAAAGAGATGTAAATGTGAGGGCCACCAAGAAAAATATGTTGGGCAAACACAGGGGACATACCATTTATAACTGAATGAATTTATACATGAATCAAATGAATATGCATTTTAATTTTAAAATGATACATACATTTGATAGGAATATGAATAGAATACAAGGTCTTATAGGGGTAACAGCAAATGTATGATAACAAAAATCTTTCATAAAGGACAGTGGACAATAAATATGTTTCTTGATTGAAGGGTTCATACAGGGAAAATGATACTGAATCAAGGGACAGATATGTGGATGTATTGATATGAATCAAGATTATAATCTCACTTCAAATGCAAGATGGTATATTGATACAAACATGAAGTATATGTGTTAGAATATGATCAATTCAATTAATACTTATACAAATTGAAATTATCATATCATCATACATTGTATTAACACTACTAGAACTTCGATAGCTCATGTATTTTGAAATGATACTTTTCTTGCTGGGGTATTCAATCTGTTTTTCTTCTCTGCAACAACATGCTAATGATAATTTCATATATATAGATATATATCTATCATGGAATGAAGTATGGGACATGCCAATGGTGAATTTTGTCAGGGATCACTTGTGCCATAGACGTGCCAAGCCCCTCAATCACAGGGCTTGGGAACCACCATAGGGCCTAAAAAGAGAAAGATGTTGTATTGCCCTTTGCAACCGACCCAAAAATCTTGAAATCTACCGTTGTCTTCTTAATTTCTAATTTTTTTACGTTTTTTTTTCTATTAAAAAATGTATTAAAGAATTCAAAACTGAGAAATATCAGCCCAAAGAGGGAGTTTAAAAAAATAAAAATAAAAATAAATTAAATTCTTGACCGATCAACCCATATTTGGGCACCTAAAAGGCAATTCAACATCTTTCTTTTTTTAGGTCTAGTGTATACGTGTATAAGGGCGCACAAATGACCCCCTTCTCATCCTACGAGGGGTGAGACAGACCTGGTCCTTGAGCTCCTCAATGACCACTGGTTTCACAGCGGGGGCAGCCTCTTCAATGAGCGGAGTGACTTCCTCGGGGCCCTCGCTTGAGACCTCGATCTGTTGGTCAAGCTGACCACCGAGCTGGAGAGCCTTGCCAAATTCGCCAAGGTCTAGCTCGATGAGAGGAGCCCCGAAGTCAATCTGCATTGAGGGCTCCACTACCGGGTTCAGGGTGAACTTCTTGGGACCGAACTTGGATCCAGGAGCTGATCGGAGGAGGAAGAGAAAGGGAGAGAGAGAAAAGTGACAATTAGGCCTCGTTCAGATACAACGCAGATAAAGATAAAGTTGAGTTCTGGTCACGCGATTGCATTATGAAAGAAACAGTGTGGAATCGATCAGGAAAGGTTGATTATCTAGCATATAAGTATTGATGTGTGCTGCAAGGTTCTGGAATCATTAAAATGATAAGAAATGTGGCCCAGTCTTGGTAAAGTTAGAAGCACTGTACACAGAAAGATGTTTATGGGACTACACGAACATGAGGCATAAAAATCGGGACAGATTTTTATGCTGTTACATGCCATATTTAGAATATTAAGGCATTTGAAGAGCCATGCTTTCCAGGATACATTTTTAATCTGATGTTCTTCCACACTTGCTTAATACAACGATAATGCTCACAAATTATTTACATATCTTCTCAGAACTCAAGCTTCTCTTTAAACCACAACAGTTTTTTATTATGCTGCAACGTGTAATATGCTTCACATGTCTGTGTCTTATAGCACAGAGCTCAGTGAACATGCTGGGGACCTTTGCTGCACTCTGTTGCCGTTAATTCAACAGTAGTTTACCGCGATCGGAGCAAGACACAAAGAGATAGAAAAGCTATAATTAGGCCTCATTCAGATATGACGCAGTTAAACAACGACAGTTTTTTATTCTGCTGCACATGTAGAAATGTGTGATCTTCTTGGTAATTTAAGTAATGTTAATTCCATTATTTATATTGATTTTTCTTCAAGTAATCTTGATTTGTGTACAGCACTTAGATATTTTTATGTCACAAGCGCTACATAAATTTTTCGTATTATTATTATGGTTCATATGCTTCACATATCTGTATCTTAAACACAGAGCTCAGTGAACATGCTGGGGACCTTTGCTGCACTCTGCTGCCGTTAATTTAACGTCAGTTTACCGCGTCACATCTGAACAAACCTTCGGGATAATATTTTAATTCATGGGCATGTGTGAGCTATTATATCCCATAAGTTACAGACTACATCTCAGATTTGAGAGACTTTTAGAGCTTGGAATAGACCAAATATCAAGTAAATTGACACTTTTGATAGATTTTGTCATGGCAGAATACTTAGTAACATACGGGACATTGAACTACATGTACCTTGAACTAGCCCACATAAAGATTCAATTGAATTCTCTTCAACAGCAGCCCAGAACAGCTTTATCCATTCGAATACAAAGTGTTTTTAATTTTATCTGTTATTTTGGACGATTCAAAACACCTCAAACATATGTAAATTCGAAAAACAGAATTCTTCTACAGGTCTATCCATAATTTGAAACTATTTGTAGATCCCATGAACTATCTTATCCTGCCTTGAATCAAACAATTCTAGAATACATTCAGACAAGGTCATAACTCAAAAGTGCTAGTTATAACAAGAAGAGCACTGGTGCCTGATCACTATCACGTGTGCGAAGGCTTTAAGATTAATGTAAGGGTACCTCAAAATGTTAAAGGGATACCATGGCCGCGTCTTAAAAAGAGTTGATATTAATCGCAACTTATTTGCGATTGATATCAATCGCAACTATGTACATAAGAGATAGGAGACTGCAAATTTGTGATTGATTAGAGGACTTGCAATTGATTTGGATCAGTGGCAACCCTGTGTGAGACGGGGCCAATATGTATAAGTATTCCACATAAAAGGACACAGTTTTATCAAGTAAATCTTAGTACGGACTAATTCCAGTGAATTCAACTGACCTTGGTCAAACTTGAGGTTGATGGTGGAAGTGGCTTTGCCCTTCTCGTTCTCTGCAACCACAATGTAGCTTCCTGAGTCAATGTTGGAAGAATTGTTCACCTCCAGAGTCAGCATGTACACTTTACCTGCAGAGCAAATCAAGATATGTGAGATCAAACATAAGTTTGATAATAGGTAATTCAGTACTTCAAATATACTTTTTTTTGGTGGACAGTTGCTAAAATCGATTTTGATTGATCATTATTGATTTACCAATTGCCGGCGAATCTTCCCGCCTCGCTCAGTACAACAAAAAGTCAACCATCAGCAGTCGCGAGATTTAGAGTCATAAAACTTTCACGAAATCCAGAAATCCTTGACATCCTTTAATATCTATATATTTCTGTACCCGTTAAGTTTCAAGAGTAATGTCAAGTCCATTATGAAGATATCACATACAGGGTCAAGATGAAAACTTCACCTGTAGAGGAACCTGTTTAGGATCACCTTGTCAACAAAAGCCACATATACAAGGTTCAAAAGTTCTTAATGAGATCATTAGCATTAACCCCCTGGACAATCAGCATGTGAAGATTTGTGCTATCGCTCTTAAAGTATGGCGTCTTAATGTTCCACAACTCTTAAATGGTTTTATAAAGACCATTTAAAGCAAAATCTTGAACATGAGTACAAAAGCGATTGGTCTGTACTGGCATATTTTTTGCATCATTCCTTGATCCACTGATTGTCAAATAAATGAATTACTTAAAGATACCTTTCTAACCTAACTAGGTGATGTGTAGAAAACATATTCACATAAATGCTGCTTTCGGGAGAGAAAAGAAACACTGATCATGAAAAAACATAAACGGTGGTCTCTTTGGAAGGGTTGGTCTTTCTGCACATGTTGATTGTTTATGTCTACTGCCTCGCTCGGGTGACCTCAATATTTTAAGGTAACAAACGTGACATTCTTTTGGTAACAATTTAATTTGTTTGCTGTTTTTTTGCTATTTTTGCTCGTTTCACTTTGTATATCATCTTATATTAAGGCCTTCTTTCCCACCTATTATTATTGTTGGACCTCCTTCACCATTGCAATCACTTCATTTGAATGTTAGTTTTTATTTAGAGGAACCTATAATCTACAAACTAAGCTTTTTTAAATAGGTTCCTCACATTTCACACTATATAACCTACATATTTAAAACAATTAATTTCGACATCTTTACAAAAGCTTAATTATATAATGTCATACTTTGAGTATATTTCATATTATGTTATAATTTTGTCATTTATGTGAATTCTATTTTGTGAAATAATCTTGAAAAACTTAAAACTTGAAACTCACCCTTCTGTTGTGACCTCATCCTGTACTTCTTGTCCTCCCTGATGTCCCTGTCGTTGTACTGCCACTTGATGGTAGGCTTGGGTTCTCCCATCAGCTTGACCTCAAAGACGACCCTGCGACCCTGGTCCTCCTGCTTGATGGTTGGCTTCTCGATGAAGGTGGGTGCACCCTCTTTGCTGGCGTCTTTGACTGGAGGAGTAAGGAATGAAAGAGAGTTGGGTTGATGGTTTATTTTACCTGACTGCTAAGAAAGCATTTGTATACTTGTAAGTAAGCTGCAAGGGGACCGACGGATTTAAGTCCTCTCCGAGGCAATTGGTAATCAGGATTAATACCTTAACAAAGGGCACTAGTGCATCGACTTGGTTTTGAGCCCGGGACCTCCCAGTTACGAGACCACTGCTCTACCACTGAGCCATCGCGTCTCCTTGTTTATATACATTTGTAATTTAAAGGCTCTATTTACATTAAATGAAATGGCATCTTTGACTGGAGGAATACAGAATGAAAGAGAATTGTAAATTTGTTATTGAAATTTAAAAGGCTCCATTTACATTAAGTGCAAGTTAAACAGAATGCTACTATTCGTTTCATTACTGATTCAGTTACAAATTGGAGAAATCGCTGTAACATATACCAAATCTGGTTGTGCCTGACTTTGTATAAAAATTGATATACCTTCTAAAATGAATACACTTCACTGAATCAATGTGGACTTTATTGGAGTGTTACTCCTTTTTTCTTTTTATGCATGTTTGGATTTACACCGAGGGAAATAAGAAAAGGAACTTCAAACTAGTCTTGTACTCTGAAGGAACAACTGGCTAAAGAATTTCAGTAAAAAGACAAAGTGTGATTGATTGCAAGCTCTTCTTCTGAGTCTGTGTTTCCTGCAATTGTGATATTTCTGAAAAATTTGAACAGATCTTCAAAATTAGGTGTTTAAAAAGAGATCAATCGTACAAAAATGTGATTGTTGTCCTTACTGTCAAAGTTCAAGTTGATGTTTGCATGTGCATCTCCGGCACTGGTGGCTACGTAGATCACATAGGTGCCTCCGTCCTTGGGCGTTACTTTTTCGATCTCCAAAGTCAAGGTGTACTTCTTGCCAGCAGCTACCTTCTTGATAGCATAGCGCCCTCCATCTTGGATGGCTGTGTTGCCGAGGCTCCACATGACCTGAGGTTCTGAGTCGGCCTCGAGTATAGACTCGAAGGTGAGTGTTTGGCCGTTTTTGCTCTGGCGCATAGTTGGATGGCCGATGAATTTTGGTCCTCCAGCGGCTCTGTTGGTGATGACAAAAAATGACATAATAATTATTTATCAGATTTTTTATCTTTGGCCCTGATGGGGCAATAACTAATTTCAGTTGTGTATAAGATTTATTTGTCTTCAGCCTCGTACCAGTGTGAAAGCCTTATATTTTAGTCCAAATTACAAACCACAAACCAAAGGCAAATAGAAGAAGAAAAAACCTGCTCACCTTTATATTTTTATGTGATAAATAAAACAAAATGTAGATTTAGTTTAAATATATTTTTGTGCCTGGTACAAAAATCAATATCCGCCAGGGACTTGTCTCCCATAAATGATTTACTTTTTGTATGGGTGTGTGTTTTTTGTATTTGTTTTGTTTTGTTTTTTTGTTCATGAGTTGTTTTGTATTCTGTGTGTTTTATTGGAGTTATGGTTGTTGATGAACATAATATAGTTAATTCAATCTCTCTGAAATACTTACGCTTGTTTTGGTGGCTCTTGTGTTGTTCCTACAAATTGAAAAGACGATGTAGAAGATTAAATAGCATATTCATAATAAGATAATAAGATGAAAGAATTTCATAGAAAAAAAGTGATAGGTCTTTTTAAGTCAACAAGAAGAAAAAAGGTGTGTTCATCAAAATAAAACCCAAAAGAAATAAATATATGAAATTTGTTGCACGTGGCGAAATTCTGAAAAATTTATTGTAATATCAGTTAAATGATAGAAAAATGATAGAAAAGGGGTTAGTAAAACCATTTATATATCTGTATGCATGGTAAATGAATCCAGAATACTTGTTGCATGAAGATTAGACAGCCTACCCAACTTAACACTTGCTCTTCGGCAAAGTCATTATCATGATTATGTTTGTGCAATCAACTGTAACGGTCTACTTTTATGTCAGCCAATCTTGTGTCAATTCTCACTCAATCCATGAATGGTTTAATTTTTCATTGACCATTGTTGGCGATTGAATGCTATTTTCTTTACCGTAAGGCGTTGACATAGGCGATTACCAATGTTCAAAACTTTTGACAAGTTGTCTAACAAAGACAGCGCACGCACACTCTCACTCTTAGACTCGGTTGTTTGTTTATAACTAGATCTAGATCTATACCATCACAAATCACGGCACATCGGACTACACACGCAGCAATTGGACAGTTCAGCAACCGAATTTTACCTTCAAAGTTGAGTGTAATCGTCGAGCTAGCTTCACCAAACTTGTTCTTGGCTTGAATTTCAAACTTTCCAGCGTCGGCATCGCCGGCATCCTTGATATCGAGGTAAATAGCGTAGTAATCGCCATCTTCTTGCACGTCGATTTTGATTCTGCCGCCAGCTTTCACAGGGGTGCCGTTCTTGAACCAGTTGAGTGTCGGCTTAGGATCGGCTTGCAGTTCGCACGTGAATTGGATGGTTCCGTCTGGTTGCTGCTTGATCTTTGGTGCCATCGTGAACTTGGGTGCTCCTCCCGGTTCTAATGGGGTGGAAGATTGACGATGGGGTACAAGATCATAGATGAAGTTACGATTAAATGCATGTGATCTATCAAGTTCATAAAGTCTTTATCTCTGATAAAAATGCAATTAAAAACTTATAAAGTCCAAGTCATATCAAAGGATTTAGGTTTCATAAATTAAGTTGATTGAGGACACGGGGACACGTTATCTTGACCCCCCCCCCCAACAAAAAAGCAAAGAAAAGAGAAAGAGAAAAAATGGGAAATAGTGATGGGGAGAGATATCGAAACCAAACTAAACTTGTGGTAAACTTGATCCTCTAGGAGTAATAATCTGATATATCTTTGTAATCCAAGTTTTTTGGGTGGGGTCTCCATACTGTGGGTAGTGGCACTTGATTATTAAACGTATGTACTATATATGTATTATATCAAGAATAATAAAGACCAAAAGAAGTTGAAAAATCTCAATGAACGCGGATATACTACTAAACATCCAACATGTACAACTTCATAAGTGGGCGTGGCACCCCCGGCCCCCCCCCCCCCCCCCCCCACTCAGAGGTCGGAATGACCGCATGCGTGTTGCCAAAATGTCCGGTAAAGGGGTACTTTTCGTGCGACAAAGTCCGGCCCGAGAATTGTAAAAAAAAAAAAGGGTGTATTTGACTTTTCACCCGGAGATTTCTTTAAAAAGGGGGTGTTTTTTCTTTTTTTTTCCCCTCATCTCTTTGGACTCCTGAGAAATTATTCCGAATTTAGGAGGGTACATTGAGCATTTTTCCTGATTTAGGGGGGTCTCCAAGGCAGGAAAAGCCCACGAAATGCCCGCGAAAGGGGGGTTCGGAAATATTGGCAGTCCTCAGATAGGGGGTGCTTTCAAAAAAAGGGAACGAGCATATGCGTACCCTAAATAACATTGAGTAGGGGGGGGGGCGGGGTGGCACCTTATAAGTCGACCCCAGTACTGCATGTGTTAGGGTTTTTATTTAGAAGTCCTGACTGAAACTTACGGTTGGGAAATTATTTGAAAAAGAAAAAAAGTAATAATAGTGATGAATTGTAATTTTCTTTAAAAATCGTTTTTGTATGTGCGTGTAACCTTGGGTCTACAAAAGAGTTACAAAACCCCGTAAAAATTAAAGCACACAGGTCTAAATACTTTTATAATCAAAACATCTAAAATTTTGGTTAACCTAGACTTGTGGAAGTTCTGGTTCAGTAGCTTGTCACATACAGCAGAGGTTGATTAAAGTAGTTTAGTTTTGTTTCTCTTATTGTGTTCCCCTCTTATTTTTGTTCATTCTTTATATGTACATGTAAATATGTCAGTTTTTGATAATTTTATGCTCCATCTTAGTTTTGTTCATTTTTTTATATCTACATGTAAATATGTTATATGGATATCTGCTCTTGCAGCTGAGTCTGGAATAGAATCTTGAATTGAATATACAACAATATGCCACTCACTCTCGAAGTTGAGTTTGATGGTGTTGGTGGCGGTTCCAAGCTGGTTCTTGGCGACGATCTTGTAGTCTCCTCCATCGGCCTCGGTAACATCGTTGATCTCGAGTGAGAGGTAGTAGAAGTCGCCGTCGTTTTTCTCCCGAACTTTGAGATGACCACCGGGCCCGCTGTCCTTCAAGAGTTTGTCGTTGCGTTTCCACTCGATGGAAGGTGCGGGGTCAGCCTCTAAGCTGCACTCGATGGTCAGCTTGGTACCGTCGTCCGATTGTTTCATGGCCGGTTTCATGGTGAAGTTGGGCGGTTTTCCCTTGCCTCCGTCTTTGCCGGGTCTGAAATGGGTGACCAAAAACACTTTTTTTTAAAATTTAATCTGAAAATGTTGTACTGAAAGCATATTCAGTCCTATGCCCGAAGATGTATTTGGGAAAGCAAGAAACTATAGAAAAGATTCAAGTCAGTTTCAAAACCAGTTGACTGTCAGTTGTCTGTAAATCAGTTAACATGTAAAGGTTCATTTTGAAGGAAAAGAAACTAAAAGTTGGAACTTGTAATTAAGAAATGCAAATGGTCAAACGAGAAGAACTTGCATGGAAGTGGTAAAATGATTTGCTTTAAGAAAAAAATGTTTATGATATATCAATCATTCTCTGCGCAGCCTTTTGTAATGAGGCGAATCAAGCAACATGAATAATTGTTTATTCAAAATTCGCCCATACGTTGTAGGCCATATAAACAGTATTATTGATTGATAATTATACATGTATTACGTATTTACTAATTGCTTATACTTACCCTGCCTCTTGTTCCATTTCTGTTTCTTCGTCTGTAATTAAAAGAAAATAAGTTATTTATTAAAAAATAAACAACTACAGAATGATTCGAACATTTTCAAATTATTTTTGTTCATTTCAAAACACATCTTAATCTGTATATCATATTTTCGTTTGACGTTCAAAGCATTTGGCAAGTAGTTCGTTGTTAATGTTGGAATTGTTCGAAATTATCACTTTAGAGCAGTATGTTTGACGAAATATAAATTGTACCTCATCTTTCAATTATATTACCTGCAATGTTTTTTTTAAATTCAAGCTCAATGCAATGATGCAATCATATACCAACATTATTTTTGAAATTACAATCATATTGATAACCGAGGGTATGACTTACCGCCGAATTTGAGTGCAATTGTTGCACTCGTGGTCCCCATTTTGTTTGAAGCGACGATTTTGTAGTTGCCTTCGTCTGCCGCTACGATGTCGGCGATCTCCATCTTGACTACGAAAACGTCACCGTCGGGTTTAACCTTGACATAGAAAAATCAAAAGTCTAAGTTTCCGCGAAGAGACAATTTTCTGCTCTATTTTTAAAGACCATTGTATGCCTAAATCTTGACTGGCCTCTGCCTGATACAGTTGCTTTTGAGTATTATTCCACTCACAACTGTCATTATTTTACGGATGGGACAAGTATATAAGAAACAAGTTTTAAATGCATACAACGACCTATAAATTAAACTCTCTACGCCCAAGTCTGGTACACTGGTCGAGTCACTCGAGGTGATACATGATCAAATGTGCACATGATTAGCCAAAATAGATATAACACTGCGGCAGTGTGATAAATCATCATCAGTCATAGTAAAACGCAAGAAATGTTGTCTTAAAAGTGACCAGTAAGGCTAAACTTTTTGTGGATTGCAGTCAACACATCGAGTTTTCTTTTATTTCATATCCTTCGTATATATTATTGGAGGTCTTTCTGCGACAATAGTTTCATCCTGGAACAGATGTATTTCTGTACAGAACTCTTAGAAAAAATACGAGGAAAGTAAGTTTCATGTGGCATATATCTTTAGCTTTATATACTCTTCAGGATTTCCTGTAATCTTTGGACTAAAACTTAACATAATTCTGATTAATGATTGCCTACCCATGTGGTTTATTCATGTCTTATACCATTGGGGATTTTTACTTGCGGTTTCCCGAAAAAAAAATCACAGGATTTCAAGAGAGTGCGATGATTTTGTTTTATGTGATTGCTCACCTATGTGGTATCATTTTTCAAGACTTATACTATTTGGAGGGTTTTCCTGCAAATGTTAAACGAAATTTGTAGGGAATTTTTTTGACCGGTAAACATTTCTTTAAAATAAATTTGGTGACTTACCGATGTGACGTATCTGCCGCCATCTTGGATTGCCTTGTCATCCACTGACCACTTGAAGTCTGGCTGTGGACTGCCTGCGATCTTGCAGGTGAAGATAAGTATTTGCCCGTCATCAGACTGGTCCAGGGCAGGCTTCTGAACAAAGGATGGAGCCGCGTCTTTCCCCATTGCGGCAGCTCAAACTGCAACGTAAGAGAAGAAAGAGAAATGTCTTGATTAACTTTAAAGGAACAGTACTCAAACCAAGGGGTCCAATTCAATACGTGTGTTATAACAAGTTGCGATTAGCCTGAATCGAATGCAAGTCCTCCAAACATTTGGATTGCAGATATGACCCGCATTGTCATTGACTTAATATAAGTTCGACTCGCATCCATCATAATTCTTTAGAAGGACAGCATATAACATTGTTGCGGAGTCCTGTAAACTGAAAAGAGACTGAAGTTTCCTCTATGGTGGCTAAGATGAATATTTGGTACCATGCTTGAAGTAGGCCTTTGAACAAATGTTTATGAAACCTATAAGTTGTTGCAGATTTTTCACGATCTCAACATATGCCGCCATGTTATTTTAGTAAAGCAGTCAGTTTTGATGAGATTTTTCTTTAAACCTTTCACGATTCCTACTAATGAAAAAAATGACTTTTGAAGACTGTATTATAGATTTCGCTTATATTAAGAAGATTAATTACTTTTAAAATAATGTTAAAGCAATGTCATACTTGTAGTTGTTGGATGTGTTGAGCTAAGATCATTTTGAATTTTAAGAGAGTGTAAATTACAAGTAGAGAGAGAGAGATTAACACATGCATAAAACGGATTGAAAAAAGTGTAAAAAGAGGGGCGTGTCAATTTATAAATATATTTAATCACCTGCTTTAGGTATTCAAACGAAATCCAAAAGTAAACAAAAGTGAACAAAATATAATCAACAAGATGTCAGTTCAGCTGAGCGGAATGATATAGGCCAACAGAGTAGGCAACAGTAGAATAATAAGCGAAGAGGAGGCAGGAGAGAACCGTAGGCGTGGCTATCTGCTGTTGATGTGAAACAACCGGCTTTACCAGACCTTCTTTTATATACCCTCTTTCAACGCGGTATCTCATCGCACATTAAAAAGCGCGGGAAAAGAAACGATACCGCTCTTGTCATCTCATTACACCGGTGATGTCACGTGATGACTCCCAGCTAGCTGGCTGGCTGCGGAGGCCTGGATTCATTTTGCCATATTCACCGCTCAGTGACGAGACGTGAGGTCCTCGGCATACTTCATGGGGTAATGCTGCTGGTATGCGGTGTCAGAGAAGCACAGAGGGGGATGACATGGGTGAATCTCGCACCCCTCCCCCTTCCAAACCCACCCCTTTAACACCTCAGTCAGATGGAGGCGGTTTTCTTCAACATGAATTTAACTCACTCGTCGCATAAAGGCGAATGGCAAAACCATTATGAATGGTCACATCTTTCCCAGGTGTTGCGTAAAGATTTGTTTCTGCCGTGCAATAGATTCATGCACAGTATGACCATCAGATAAGAAAACGACAAGTTGGGGCTTAATGCCCGCCGATGATCGCTAAACCTTGAACTTGCAGGCTTTTCACAAATTAATTTCGTTGACCTAAACTTCAACCCATGGTTATTGTTGATGTAGTTAAATAATTTGACGCCATATAGCCTTTAGCATTCAGCTGTACTCATTGTAGATCTGGATCAAGATACTTAGGAGTTATTCAAGATCATCACAGATTTTTTTGTAAAACAATTATTTTGACACCTAGGACCCGTTTGGCAAAACCTTTTGAGCCAAAGCGAATGACAAATGACAAAAATAAGTGACAAATCTGTTAATAACCAATCAGAAGCAAGGATTTCAGTAGCTTATAACAAAAACTGTCATTTGTCACTGATGACAAGTTTTGTGAAACACCCCCTAGTATTCCAAACTATCCCCCCTGGTTTGAAAGGTTGATGATTTGTGTTTATGATCTTGAAGAATACAATTGCTTGTATTTCAGTGAAATGATAACACTAAATTCCAATCAGTCGTGGTATGTTTATCAGGGACCCCAATGTAGCGGAAAGAATAATCTCACATCCTTGTCGCACATATTTGTACCCTGGTAAAATAGCATCCCGCAGACATAGATCATGTTCCATGGTGTATCACGTCTCCGGTCTCCGGTATGATGTTTGTATTGTCAAAATAGGACAGACATACATGAAGAAGTCCTGAAACATGATAGGTTTCTCCATTAGTGCACTTCATTTCACCCTTACGTCAATTTACATGCAGGATGTCTGCTTTGATGGAGAAATGGACAACGGGATAGAATGTACCAGTCACCTGCCAATATACCGACAGCTCTCAAGACCGACAACGGCAGCCCATGAGACTGACAATATCCATCACGTGAACTGTCGGCAACGTTGTCCGAAGGCCCGAAAGACCAACATGTGGGATACCATACATGCGGTCGGTCTCGTGAATCTTCATAGAACTTTTCAGAAGGCCCGCGAGACCGCTGTCTGTCGGCCGCTTGGGCTGTATGTTGTACAACATACTGATTTGCACTTTGAGAGAGGTATCATTATACTTCTTATGTACCCTTTGATGGTAAAGTGGACATAGCTTTTCACGAATCAAAGCTGCGAAGTTGTGTCAAAATATTCTCAGTGGAAACTTACCTAGGGTTTTGGTTTATTTGTTTGTTTTTGTTGTTGTTGCTGTTGTTTATCTTATTGTAATACTTATGAGGTGGTCTTGTTTGGGCTTTAAACCATGTCATTCCTATTTTTAGGATACGAATGACTTACTATTACAATTATTACAATCGATAATATTTCTGACGCTCAACCATAAAAGGGTGCCTATTTCTCTGCTCTGACTTCATCAACAAATAATTCAAGATATTTCCAGTCATCTGTGAGACATCTGGCGATTGTTTCACCCAGGTCTTTCCCAAGTTGTCAACCGGTCAGTAATATACAATGCTACATCGCAGAACACACGTCTAGTGAATCCTGTTGTCTTTTTTTAAGGGGGGTGTATTTCTGAAGAAGAAAAATAACCCTGACAACCATTAAAAAACTACCGAACAAACAAACAATAACACCAGAAGAAGACAATTGAAAAGGATGCACATTTATCTCTTTTGCACTTATGAAATTTGGGTTTTTAAATTAGCATGGACTTTTTATGCCTGTGCTTAAATCCGCAACTGAAAGATCATATTAAACAGTATTCTAGAATGCTAATCCGAATAATCAAGCAATATTTTTAAGACTAGGCCCACTTTCTATGTAAAGGTGTCTTTAAATAGTGGTTCGTTCACCTGACTTTTCATCATATTCTGTAGGTTATACTATTCCAGCCTCGGCACTAAAGGTATGATTATTTCTCATGCACCCTAGTATAAATGTGTACGTGATATGCTGTAAAGCGCTACATATCAGGCTGCCCGGCTGTAACCGTTGAATGAAAACAAAATTAGTATGAAGACTCATGTATCAGATATTTCAGCAATTTCACTTGCCTATTTCATTGTGGACTCGAGAGACATGTATTGATATTGACTGAGTATTCGGTAATCGGGACTTTCCCCCACGGTGCTGAAGGATTAGTCATAGTAACGTTTTCCCTGTGGACCTCTTACAGTCGAGGGGTAATAGAATCCATATTGCTGATACATTGCGTGTAATGATTAGTCCCCTGTTCGTTCCAGAACGTTCAAATTGTCATCGTCATAGGCCTACTAAGATGTTTATAGTATGTACGTGTCATTTCAGTCATTGTTTTTCGATTATCTGACAATTGTACAGACTGTAATCGGTTATGAGCAAGTTTTTGTTACAATATATATATTTTGCTATGAACTGATAGAATAATAAGGTCACACAACAAAGAAATACCAGTCGATTTTCACCCAAAAATTGATATTTCGTCATGTAAGTACTTTCATGTTCTTTAATTTGTACGTGGGGTGCAGGAGGTTCAGGATCTAGTTCATTATTATTGTTTCTTATCCGGGTGCTCATAATAACTATAACTGCTTATGAAATTCTGTGGTTGCCTTCTAGAGTACTATACTCTACAAAACAAATTAGAACAATTAGAATCGTACGGACTTCAGAGTAGAAGCTGCTGTTTTCTTTGACTAGTTTAAATGAGGTAAGCTTTGGCGTTCCATTTGGAGCATCGCTGATGATCTATACATGCTTTATAAGACGGTCATAGGCGACGAGTATTATCATTTTGTGGTAAGGGGCGGGCTGGAGGCGTGAAATTTGAAATCGGATGAAGTAGTGGCGTTACCAGAAATGATAATAGAAAGGGGGTATGACGAATCCTCCCCAAATGAGGTGTTATTTATCTGGGCACCCCATGTGTGGTAGATCCATTGCATCATTAACATGACCTTTTCCATCATGCTTATGGGCCTTTATACGGTTCAATATTACAGACAAGGTTAAAAAGAACTATGTTAGAAAATTGGTCTTTTGAAATTTCTTTGGAACCAATACCTTTTCACTTAAACTTTAGAAGACTGATGTTATAGTTACAGTTATCATAATTTGCGATGAAGGTTAGGCCCATATGTTGGTTTCGATGAGATGGGGTTAATGTGTAGGAGTGTCAAAAATAAATAGTATGAATAACTCATACTAGTCTGATTTGATTTGATTTATTTCCTTCTGCATTCCATATAAATATAAACGAATTTTGGTAACATAACAAACATAGAATAATACAATTTATTACCGACAATGTATCATAATCAAGTAAATATACATACAAATTATTATAGGAAAAAAAATTGTCAAAGTATTATATTTCATCAGTTTTTATGAAATTATTTGCTAAAGAAGGGCTAGCATTGTAAGCAAAATGCTTGAAAATATGATAGCCTAAACCAAATTTTATGAAATAGATGAACAAATGTATAAAGCAGAATGGACAATTGAAAGCATATGTAAAAAAATTAACTAAAATAATTATAATGATGATGAAGTTGATGGTGATGTTTGCCATTTGAAAGCATGTTTAATAGTGGCGTTAGCATTTGCCACTCTGCTGGAAAATAAGTGTATGATAAAGACGACCCACTGTTCTCTTTATAGATGTAAAGGTCATTACACATGCTTATCATCTTGACATTTGTAATCAGTTTTAAAGGTAGAAGTG